GATTTTCAAGTATTAATAAGCCTGCTCCCTCATGTGAAGCACTACGAGAATGGGAGAGAAAACTTTAACAGGAAATATTTTGTATGTAATGTGTCCTGGTCATTCAGCATCATGTGAAGAACATGGAGACAATTATTAAAGCATCCTGTTCAAAATTCATACAAAAATCAACTCAGAAAAAATCACAATTAGGTATTCCTTAGTTTAACATTAGAAAAGATAATGAGAAGGCATTTGGGGTTCAAGGAAATATTCTAAACATTGGGAAAACTCAAATACATAATTCGGACTTGGAGGCCCATAGAAATGTGCTGCAATGTCGGACATAACAGATTTATGCCCCCAGCATTACTCTTTTCAATCACACACTCAACATACAGGTATGCAGAAAGACTGTATTAATGTTGGTAGAATTACCAACAATATGTTAGGTGAAAGGACACAAATGCAACTCATGTGACATTTTATTGTGGCAACGTTTCACTCTCCAGGAGCTACATCAAGCCATTACAGCTTGATAAAGCTCCCTGAGAGTGAAACGCTGCCACAGTAAAATGTCACATTAGTTGCACTTGTGTCCTTTTACCTAACATGCAGAATGATATCATTACATATGCATATTTTTTTATTTTACTTGCATTAAAATTTTTTTAAATTTCTATGGGCATAAAATGGCCAAAAGCGATGTTACCCCAACAAACTTTTATAATTAAATAAATCTAACTCAAGTCTAGGGTGCAAGTATGCCCATACATGTGATAGATCCAATTTCAAATAAATATACAAGTACATAAAGCATTTTATGTTACATATGTGAAAAGTTTATCATGCACATTAGCTACTCAGCGTGCACATCTCCAAAAAAAAGTAATTTTCCTATCTTTCCACATGTAATCATTAGTTTTACTACTAAAATATATTTACGCTATTACTGGAAGTCTATTCTACACTTTTATAGCCATATAGAAGGTATTCAATGCCTGCTATATACAGTGGCTACTACAGTGGGTACTCCTTGATATGCAAGTTTTGGTTGCTAATTCCTTCAAACTAACTATAAAGTAAGATAGTCTAGAAAATGTGTTTGAAATTTTGTCATCAGTGGGTACCTCAACGGTTTCATTACATGCCACTTTAACATTTCGCAGTACGTATTGCAATTCAACGTGGCCTACATGGTCCCTTGCACTCATATCCAGGATAAATTTTGCTATTTTAATCAGGATAACTTGTAGTTAATAATCAGATTTTTTATTAGAACACAGTACCATAATCAGCAGGAAAAATCTACAGGACTGAATAAGAACCTGATGTAGTCTCTCTAATTCCTTGGTAGATAAACTCTGTGCCTGCTTGTAAAGCACAGAAAGTCCTTACTTAATATCGTCTATAGGTTCTTGGAAACTGCAACTTTAAGAGACGATGTATAACGAAACCAATTTTACCATAGGCTAATTTATATAAACAGGTTAAGTTCCTATGGCAAGGGAGAGCTGAGAGGGAAGGTAGTAGTGCTGCAGACACCATGACTATGGAGTGTCGCTCTGGAGCACTATCAAATCATATATTTACTCTATTACTGACATTTTTATTATTTTAGGTATCATATGCTTTTCAGAATTATATAAGAAGCATGCTACATATAATAAAAAACGAATACAAACAGCCGTATGGGAGGAAATTGACATTAGTGAACATAGAGTTATGCCAATGCATGTCCTCCATCCAGATATTTAAAAGTCTTTCCATATTTTTCATCCCTGGATGGGAATTGATTTCTTTATCTCATCAACATCATAGTGAAATGACGTTGAATTAAAACGATTTTAAGCGAGAACTTCCTGTGCTACCAAAATTATTTTGGCATTCACTTTTTTATTGCAGTATTCACAGTCAATTCAAGTGGTGAGCAAGTCAAAGGATAGCCCTAAGCATTTAATTAAGGCTACTGTTGAAATAAGTTCAACACACTTAACAGCAAAATTATTAAAGAACATTAGTTTTTATTTTTTCTAAATAGGGGAAACAAGACACAAATACAGTTTAATATAGTCCTACCCAGAGTGGGTTTTTATCAAGTTACAGATAAACTTGGAAGAGGGAGAAGATAAGGGAGAGGGGGAGAGAGAGAAAAGGAGAAAAAGAGAAAAGAGAGAAAAGAGGAGAGAGAAAAGAGAGAGAAGAGAGGAGTGAGAGAGAGAGAAGAGAGAGAGAAAAGAGGAGAGAGAAAAGAGGAGAGAGAAAAGAGGAGAGAGAAAAGAGGAGAGAGAGAGAAAAAAAAGAGGAGAGAGAGAGAAAAGAGGAGAGAGAGAGAGAAAAGAGGAGAGAGAGAAAAGAGGAGAGAGAGAGAGAAAAGAGGAGAGAGAGAGAGAAAAGAGGAGAGAGAGAAAAGAGGAGAGAGAGAAAAGAGGAGAGAGAGAAAAGAGGAGAGAGAGAAAAGAGGAGAGAGAGAAAAGAGGAGAGAGAGAAAAGAGGAGAGAGAAAGAGGAGAGGGTGAGAAAAGAGGAGAGGGTGAGAAAAGAGGAGAGGGTGAGAAAAGAGGAGAGGGTGAGAAAAGAGGAGAGGGTGAGAAAAGAGGAGAGGGTGAGAAAAGAGGAGAGGGTGAGAAAAGAGGAGAGAAAAAAGAGGTGTATGGTGTATGAGGTAGGTTACTGAAAGCAGTGAAGAGTTTTTACAAGGATAGTGAGGCTCAAGTTAGAGTATGTAGGAAAGAGGGAAATTGTTTCCCAGTAAAAGTAGGCCTTAGACAAGGATGTGTGATGTCACGTTGGTTGTTTAATATATTTATAGATGGGGTTGTAAGAGAAGTAAATGCGAGGGTCTTGGCAAGAGGCGTGGAGTTAAAAGATAAAGAATCACACACAAAGTGGGAGTTGTCACAGTTGCTCTTTGCTGATGACACTGTGCTCTTGGGAGATTCTGAAGAGAAGTTGCAGAGATTGGTGGATGAATTTGGTAGGGTGTGCAAAAGAAGAAAATTAAAGGCGAATACAGGAAAGAGTAAGGTTATGAGGATAAAAGATTAGGTGATGAAAGATTGGATATCAGATTGGAGGGAGAGAGTATGGAGGAGGTGAATGTATTCAGATATTTGGGAGTGGACGTGTCAGCGGATGGGTCTATGAAAGATGAGGTGAGTCATAGAATTGATGAGGGGAAAAGGGTGAGTGGTGCACTTAGGAGTCTGTGGAGACAAAGAACTTTGTCCTTGGAGGCAAAGGGAGGAATGTATGAGAGTATAGTTTTACCAACACTCTTATATGGGTGTGAAGCATGGGTGATGAATGTTGCAGCGAGGAGAAGGCTGGAGGCAGTGGAGATGTCATGTCTGAGGGCAATGTGTGGTGTGAATATAATGCAGAGAATTCGTAGTTTGGAAGTTAGGAGGAGGTGCAGGATTACCAAAACTGTTGTCCAGAGGGCTGAGGAAGGGTTGTTGAGGTGGTTCGGACATGTAGAGAGAATGGAGCGAAACAGAATGACTTCAAGAGTGTATCAGTCTGTAGTGGAAGGAAGGCGGGGTAGGGGTTGGCCTAGGAAAGGTTGGAGGGAGGGGGTAAAGGAGGTTTTGTGTGCGAGGGGCTTGGACTTCCAGCAGGCATGCGTGAGCGTGTTTGATAGGAGTGAATGGAGACAAATGGTTTTTAATACTTGACATGCTGTTGGAGTGTGAGCAAAGTAACATTTATGAAGGGGTTCAGGGAAACCGGCAGGCTGGACTTGAGTCCTGGAGATGGGAAGTACAGTGCCTGCACTCTGAAGGAGGGGTGTTAATGTTGCAGTTTAAAAACTGTAGTGTAAAGCACCCTTCTGGCAAGACAGTGATGGAGTGAATGATGGTGAAAGTTTTTCTTTTTCGGGCCACCCTGCCTTGGTGGGAATCGGCCAGTGATAATAATAAAAATAAAAAAGAGAGAGAGAAAAAAGAGAGAGAAAAAAGAGGAGAGAGAAAAGAGGAGAGAGAAAAGAGGAGAGAGAGAAAAGAGGAGAGAAAAAAGAAGAGAAAAAAGAGAGAGAGAGAAATGAGGAGAGAGAGAGAAAGAGAGAGGAGGGAGAGAAGAGAGAAATGAGGAGAGAGAAAAGAGAAAAAAGAGAGGAGAGAGAAAAGAGAAAAAAAGAGAGGAGAGGAGAGAGAAAAGAGGAGAGGAGAGAGATGAGAGAGAGAAGAGAGAGATGAGAGAGAGAAAAGAGAGAGGAGAGAGAAAGGAGAGAGAGAGAAAAAAAAGAGGAGAGGAAGAGAGACAGAAAAGAGGGAGGAGAGGAAAGAGGAGAAAGAGGAGAAGAAAGAAGAGAGAAATGAGGAGGCAAGGAAAGAGGAGAAAGTGAGGGGAGAAAGATAGAGAAGAAAATAGAAGACAATAGACAATAGGTTTGTGTCTGACTTGAAAGAGCCCACTATATGGCAAAACATTATCAACAGAGGATCTCCTTATGCTGCATTTGTATCAGTTTCCATCTCGTTAGTATTTTATACCATTTTGCTTTATCTTAACAGTGTTACATTGATGAAATTTTTAACAATTATTAGTATTATTATAATCAGGGAAAGCGCTAAACCCACAAGGGTCACAGTGCTAATTTTTTTTTTTTAACAAGATGCAGAAACAAAATGTAACATTTGTCTACTAAGTAGTCTACACGAGAGCCATCCAGACAGTGGCACTTTAGTCTCAGCCCTCAGGATCCCCTCAAGGGAGGTTCCTTGATGCTGGTGAGGGGCTCTTGATCTACGGAATTGGATTTGCGCTCCGGTTCCCTGAATTGAGCCTGAATACCTTCCATCCCCCCCCACATGCGCTGTATAGTCCTACGGGTTTAGCGCTCCCCATGATTATAATAATAATAATCAGCCCTCAGGCTTAGGGACTCATTACGTCATCTTTTGTACTTAATTCTTCACATTATGTCCTTGTATTGCATTGATAGAGCCACTGGTTGGCAAAACGTCTATAAATAAAGATACCCAGATGTTACACATGTTTAATTGTTGATGTAGTTACCTGTGATGGTCAGGTTGGGCAGCGAAGATTGTCTCAGCAACGGTAGTGTGACACAACTGTTCCTGTGACATGGACAACCTGCGCAGCACCTCAGCGTAGTTGAAGCTCTTGTTGTCATCGAAGGAAAGACTCTTCGAAGACATGGCTCACACACTCGCTAAATACCTCGCTAACGACTAAAACAGAGTTTAATACAAAGAAGAGTGTGGTTCACAGCCTGACCATAGTTTGTAAACACAGAGCTTTGAACCCTGGCTGCTGATTGGTGGCGACGCTGCTCCACACTCCTCGCTCAGGATCACTAAACCTCTCCTTCTTTTATAATATTCATGACCAAACACTCAACTCACAAGGCATATGCAGCATCTAAATAATGTTAAGTAATCTGGTTTGATCCCAGAAAAGGCCGGTAGTAGGTATTCAATACATTAAGAGCCCTACAAGGACCCCAATTGAAATAAGTCATTTTTTCTGACTTTTTAGGGTTATCCTAGGTAATCTACACATATGTTGCTATGTATGATAATTTGTGTAACTGTATTTATGTGTGCCTGTACCTGAATAAACTTACTTACAATAACATAAACCTCACCTGTCTCCGTTGATCTCAGCTACAACCATAGAAGATGGAATCATTCGCTGTTATAGAAAACTATTCAAAATGATGGATAAACTATAGCAAATATATATTTTTTATAGGAATATATTGTCTCTAAAGAATAAATAATATAATATAATAATAATATCTTTACTTACTACAAGTACATGGTATACAGACCTAGCTGACATCAATGACATACTACCATATAGAAAACCTCTTATTATGCAGAGCATTTCGGGCAAATTAAGTCAGTTTTGTCCCAGGATGCGACCCACACCAGTCGACTAACTCCCAGATACCTATTTTACTGATGGATGAACATAGACAACAGGTAAGTATGTAAGTAAGTAAGTTTATTCAGGTATACACAAATACAGTTACATAGAATTATCATACATAGCAGCATGTGTGTAGAGAACCTGGGATAACCCAAAAAAGTCAGACAGTGACTTATTTCCATTGGGGTCCTTTTACCTTATTATTATAATATAAAGGTTATAATATTTTCTTATTATTCTACAATGAAGATAACATCTTATTATCATACTAAAAAGACTATCTACTACACGAGGGTCATTAAGACTATCTACAATACGAGGGTCATTACTAGGAATAAGGTAAAATTTACACGTATTTTAGCTAAAAAATAGAAAATCATTCCCCTCCCTTTCTGTAGCTACATTCATCAGACACCTTTTGGCACTCTTCTTGAACTGGTTCATGCTATGACTGGCTTTGACATGTGCGGGCAGTCTGTTCCATTCCTTTATTGCTGTACAATAAAAGGTTTGAAGCCTGGCCATTGACTGTGGGTACTACAAAGTTGTGCTCTCTCCCCCTAGTACTATGATTGCTTTGGTTCCCAACCTTGACAAAATTGACAGCAAGATATTCTGGACACTGTTCGTGAACAATTTTATAAACATGATTTAGCTTCAGTTGTTTTACTCTGGTGTAAAGAAACACGCCCAATGTTTCTACCCTCGCCAGGAATCGAACCCAGACCCTCGCCGCGTGAAGCGAGAGCTTCAGCCACCAGTCACAGTACTGTTGCTGGGACAATTCAGCAAAAATCCCGCTCTTACGAGAGATCAAAACCATCCTCTAAATTCATCCTCTGGTAACATTGTCTGACTTTTTATGGGTTATCCTACGCAATTAAACTGTGTAAGATATTTGTACTTATGTGTATCTGTGCCTAAAGAAACTTACTAAAGACACGGTCTGGTTGCTGCAGTTTTTATAAGTAAGTTTATTTAGGTACAGGTCTACATAAGTACAATCATCATTCACAGTAACGTATGTGTAAATTACCTAGGATAACCCAATAAAAATCAGACAGAGTGACTTATTTCTATGAATCATTGTTCTAGTTTAGTTTCTGTAGCTTCCTCTTTCCCATTACGTTTGTCAAATGTTCTTATCTTGAGAAGACCCTTGACTTAATCTAACCTTTCTCGCTTCCCCTCCTTCCTTTTCTGTATTTTCTTTGCCTTTGCTATAGTTTGTCATATGAGTTTTGCTCCATGGAGTATTGTCACTAGACAAAGGTCTCGGTCTCTGTATCCTGGTTGTTTGGTCATCAGATCCTGGTCTTGGTCTCTGTATCCTGGTTGTTTGGTCATCAGATCCTGGTCTTGGTCTCTGTATCCTGGTTGTTTGGTCATCAGATCCTGGTCTTCATCTCTGTATCCTGGTTGTTTGGTCATCAGATCTTGGTCTCGGTCTCTGTATCCTGGTTGTTTGGTCATCAAATCCTGGTCTCGACCTCTGCATCCTGGTTGTTTGGCCATCAGATCCTAGTCTTGACCTCTGTATCCTGGTTGTTTGGCCATCAGATCCTAGTCTTGACCTCTGTATCCTGGTTGTTTGGCCATCAGACCCTGGTCTCGACCTCTGTATCCTGTTTGGTTTTCAGACCCTGGTCTCGTCTTCTCGTTCTTGTCACTGTTAGACAGTTATTAATCTGATGAATGAGACACTTGTTCAATATTTGAGTATCTGTTGTGGAAATGTTTGGTCAGTCACTAGCTGACAAGACGTTTCCACAATAAAGATACCCAAATTTTAACACAAGTGTCTCATTCATCATAAATTTAATTTTTTATTTTTGTCTCTCATTCATCAACTTGTCGGTTTTGTAAACCATTTATATAGTTATTACACTGGTCAACTCCACTAATCATTTGCTCTTTCAAGGTGTCTTAATGTAATAAAGTCTCTTGATTAAAAGAATTATAGCTATCCTTCCATTTCTCGGATCAAACCTGATTACCTCTTATTCTACAAACGCTATATGACCCCTACGGGTTTAGCATTTCCCGATGATAATACAGTTGATAATAATAATAATTTCTGATATCTCTAATATCTCTAATTTTCTTAATACGTAATAGCTCTCGGGGAATATTGCATTACATGTTTTCACAGTGGCCCGGTGGCTGGTGGCTAAAGCTCCCGCTTACTCACCGGGTCCCAGTTCGATTCCCGGCGGGTGGAAACTTTGTAACTTTCGTAAGCCTGTGACCTGTTCACCTAGCGCAATAGGTACTGGGTTTGTCGACTGGTGTAGGTACGCAATCCTGAGGGCCAAGACGTTAAGGACCCCATGGAGGAAATAAGTTAGGACAGGTCGAGCGAGTGACGCACTGACTTTCATGGGTATCTGGGTGGCTAACTTCCGGGTTAAAAATCTCGAAAAAATCTTATTTATCTAGGGCTAGGATGACTTTTTTATTTCATTCCTTAGTACAGTGATACTCTGCCATGCTCTTCTTGTTAAATTCTGAGGAAAGGCCTGTGAGGTTCGTGAGACGAGTAGGATTAGTGATTATTATTACATCACAAACTAAGCGCTAAGCCCAAGTACGGTTGTGGAGGCATGGAAGGAATGTTGGTGTGTGGTGGGTAGAGGCGAGTTGTGAGAGGATAAAGAATGTAGGTGTGGGGTGTGTATTTTTTTGTGACCTAATTCATGTCTGGATAAATAACTCGTTACGATTGTAACCATATATGAACATGTAAATAGTTCATTACCACTGTAACTTGTTCAGCTATCAAAACTTTGCGGTCAAGTCCCTGAACTTATTATGTGCCTCTATAATCTTTTGACTACCGCCCACAGGATGGGTATGGGGTACATAAATTAACTGTATGATGTCTAGACCGGAGATGGAGTGGGCTCTTGTAAGAGGTGGAGTTTACCTGGAGAGAGTTCCGGGGGTCAACGCCTCCGCGGCCCAGTCTGTTACCAGGCCTCCTGGTGGATCAGAGCCTGATCAACCAGGCTGTTACGCTGGCTGCACGCAATCCAACGTACGAGCCACAGCCCGGCTGGTCAGGTACCGACTTTAGGTGCTTGTCCAGTGCCAGCTTGAAGACTGCCATGGGTCTATTGGTAATCCCCCTTATGTATGCTGGGAGGCAGTTGAACAGTCTCGGGCCCCTGACACTTATTGTATTGTCTCTTAACGTGCTAGTGACACCCCTGTTTTTCATTGGGGGGATGTTGCATCGTCTGCCAAGTCTTTTGCTTTCGTTGAGTGAATTTCGTGTGCAAGTTCGGTACTAATCCCTCTAGGATTTTCCAGGTGGTGGGAAGTGCAAAGAATAAATATACATGTAGGGAAAGAAGACATAGTCATTAGGGTACAGCATCAAGAAGGTACACTAAGAAAACAGGTAAACCAGGAGGTGTACAGCAAAAGAGCAAAATGGTTTATCCCTGTAAGAGCGAGTCTCAAGTAAAATACTGCTGGTGTCAATGGAACACTGCATCTCTGGCCTCTCAACTCCTGCCCTCCACCACCCACAACACCTTTCATTTTTTACATCCTTCAGTTGCACCTGTTCGCTTGTAAGTAATGTAAACGACCTAATTTTTGCATGCTTCGAGAATATGATGCTGAAGTGAGCTGGGAGGGAGTGGGTGAGTTGACAAAAGTGGGAGGATGAGTGAGTAAGTGAGTGGATGTTTGTCGAGAACCGTCAGTGTCAACTTGGTTGGGCCGAGGCACCAACTGGTACACGTCCTATCAACTATTCACCAGTCTCCACCAGTTTCTCACCACCCATCACTTGAGAGAGACCAAAAATTACCAATTCCTCGCTTCTAGATACATTAGTGGTATTGATTTTAACCCCAGATGCCTGAGAACTGTCTGCCTCTCAGGGGGGCCGTTCTAAGCTAGGAGGCGGGTCTCACCAAGACTTCTCATGCAGAGTTGACTGCTTGCGTGTTTGCGACTCAAGGCCGACCGTTCTCGCAACATCTAGAATAAATATCACCAGCTAGGGACTTCCTCGGCGGTTCCTCTCACCGTTTAGTCGCCACCTCATTGAGTTTGGAAGAGCCAAACCACATCTATGTCAGACATATCGGACATGGTCCTGTACGACGAGAGTGTCATCTTTGACGCAGACGACCCAGACTTCGTCACTGGGGAGGACCAGAGAAGTAACATCAAGACCAAGTTGGGTGAGTCTTCTGTGTTCATTTTTATTCTAAGTAATTCTTTCACATTTTTTGGTTGGTTCAGTTGTTTATCCTGCCACACAAGCAAGTATGGTGAGTGTGAGTCAGACATGAAGCTCCTGGGCCAGCAGAAGCTACCCATGACAACCAAGCTTACATAATAACAGCATCTATACATGCCTCTAAAAATTAAACTATATAACACAATGGAAATAAGTCACAATGCTTGACTTTACTAGGTTAAATTCGCCTGTATACTATGTACATGTACTTGCAGTAAATAAAGAATTATTATTATTATTATTATTATTATTATTATTATTATTAATGTAAAACTATTGTAAAAGTTTAAAACTAGTATTTTTTTAGGTACTAGTACATATAAGTACAATTATCATACCTTGTAACGTGTGTAAATTAACCAGGATAACCCAAAAAGTCAAGTGGCTTATTTCCATTGAGTTTCTTAATAAATTATTAATATGTTAAAAATCTATGACCTACACTAGGGTCATTGAGGTTGCACGTTATCTTTTCACTACAAAAGTAGTTTAATCCATAAAAAGGTATTAAACTAAATTCTCATCATATATACAATGAGGGAATTACACCTCTCGGTGTAATACCATTATTTCTCAGGGACCCCAATGAAAATAATTCTCAGGTGACTTTATTGGGTTAGCCTCGGTTAATTGAAAATTGTGTTTTTTTTTATACGCCCATAATACTTGTGTACGCTCAAAAAACTGTATAAAAGCTATACTATGCACACAAACGCCTAAATAAATGGCGTGCGTAAATTCTGTTTGAGGAATCCATTATTATTTATATTTTACTATCATTTCCAATGGTGGCCCGGTGACCTGGTGGCTAAAGCTCCCGCTTCACACACGGAGGGCCCGGGTTCGATGCCCGGGTTCGATTCCCGGCGGGTGGAAACATTTCGACACGTTTCCTTACACCTGTTGTCCTGTTCACCTAGCAGCAAATAGGTACCTGGGTGTTAGTCGACAGGTGTGGGTCGCATCCTGGGGGACAAGATTAAGGACCCCAATGGAAATAAGTTAGACAGTCCTCGATGACGCACTGACTTTCTTGGGTTATCCTGGGTGGCTAACCCTCCGGGGTTAAAAATCCGAACGATATCTTATCTTATCTTCTTTTTTTTCAAAGACGCTTCTGTTTGAATTATTTTCATTAAACAACCTGTAATTGTGAAGCATGGAAATGTTTAAGTAACATTTTAGGAATTTGTGGCCCAGTGTTTAAATAACTGACCCGAAGAAGTGACGCCATGATTCCATGTTTATATTTTAAATACGGTTTATGGAATGTATAATGCTGAATGTTACACACACTGAAAAATATGTAAACAATTCAATATAATGAGTAACGTTGTGCTTTTTTTTAACGCGTTTCTTCACAACATAGTTTTAAGTGAGTTTTACGAACAAAAAAGTGCTTTCTCTGTTACGTAACCCTGACGAACGTATTAAATGGAACTGGGATCTCTGGTATACGATCCTGTTACTGGAGAGAGAGAGAGAGAGAGAGAGAGAGAGAGAGAGAGAGAGAGAGAGAGAGAGAGAGAGACAGACAGACAGACAGACAGGCAGACAGATAGACAGACAGACAAAGGGAGGGAGTGGGGTTAGGGAGAGTTGTGGTGAATACACCTCAGGAATGAAGACTGTGCACGTTAAGTAACCTCTGCGACCTTCTCCGTCTCTCTCTCTCTCTCTCTCTCTCTCTCTCTCTCTCTCTCTCTCTTCTCTCTCTCTCTCTCTCTCTCTCTTTCTCTTTCTCTTTCTCTTTCTCTCTCTCGTTTTCACAGCTACATTGGTCAAATTAGTCTAGGTTGATATCCGATCCTGGACTCTCTAAAATATTTCGAAATGTCTGATACTTTTTAATTAGACAGATGATGACGGTGGTGTTAAGACGATAACCTGACGAGTCTTGGTTATTACAGCAGTGGCTAGTTGTGCTAGAGTGTATGTATCGTATTGAATTGTACTGGAAAATAGAGGATAAACAAGGGAACGGGTAGGATTTGAACCTATGACTCACTCGCCATGGGTTCGAACCTCACCCGTTCCGTGGTTTGTTTGCAATCTTGTCACTCTGTGTGAGTCTCAATATCAATGTTTCTCAGGTAGTCGTGATAAGAACATAAGTAAGAAACACTGCAGCAGACTTAGTGGCCCATGCTAGATATTTCCAGGTCACCTACTGTAAGGTCCAAGTCACCTACTGTAAGGTCCAAGTCACCTACTGTAAGGTCCAAGTCACCTACTGTAAGGTCCAAGTCACCTACTGTAAGGTCCAAGTCACCTACTGTAAGGTCCAAGTCACATCAACTTGACTTGAATCAAGTCAGCCAGAACAGCGGTCTTTACAACATAGTTGAGCCCCTTGCCAGGAAACTTACTGTTATCCTACATAACAACATACCTAACTGGCCATCCCGTGCAGGTTGTTCTCAGATCCAACCACCCCAACATTCTCCACCTGACTCCATCTTATATATATTCTTGTACTCTTTGCTTAGGTAGGTCTGTCTGTGACTTGATAAAGGCCACTGTGTGGGCGAGACATGGTCAATAAAGGGACACATGTACTGCATTTGTGTGTGTTTTCCCACCTTGGATCAAGACTGACAAGCCAAACTCTTCTTCAAATGTCACCGTTATATTAGTCAACTCTGTATTCAATTAAAGAAACCTGAGGCGCAGGAGAAACGTCCCTGAGGGACTGTTTGCCTCATCTTTTGTATATAGTTCTACTATCTTCCAATTATGTCCTTGAATTTGTATTGATAAAACCATTCCTATAGTGCATGATGACTGCTGGTGGAGTGTCAGCCACGACGGCCACTATTATTGTTACCTAATATTGTGTCCTCGACCTTGAGACAGTTCTTGCACAAACCTACACACGCCCAGGGACATCTTGATAGTTTCCAGTTATTTTTCCTGTGTGAGAGAGACAATGAGAACACGAAAGAGTAAAAAATAATTGAATGGAAATAAGTCAGTGAGTTTTTGTGTCGTTGTGGGTAATAACTGACACGTTGCCATGGTAACGATAATGATAATCTAAAACTGTCTGAAAATTACAGCCAAGGTTGTCATCTTCAGTAACAATCAAAGCAGCAAGGGTTCGACTCCCGCTACATCAATTAGGCTAGAACATATACATATACACGCACCCTAAGTGCACACTCCTTGGATTAAGAGCTCAGGGTTCTATTTAGTTTAACATGGCATAACTCTAACGAGTTTGGTGCTTTTCCATAAATAAAATAAAACCTATTTATTAATCCTAAACGAAACTAAAAAAAAAAAGCAAAAATATTATACAAGTTTCCATGATGTTATTTTTTTATGTTTGTATAGTAGGCTTTGTAAGGTAGAAATAATTATATACATATTATGGCGCTTACTGTTGATTACCATGTTATTAAGGGGAGTGTACTGCAACTTACTTCCTGGTGTTATGTAATACCACTTAGGTAGTAGGTTGGTAGACAACAACCACCCAGGGAGGTACTACCGTCCTGTGGTAGTAGGTTGGTAGACAACAACCACCCAGGGAGGTACTACCGTCCTGTGGTAGTAGGTTGGTAGACAACAACCACCCAGGGAGGTACTACCGTCCTGTGGTAGTAGGATGGTAGACAACAACCACCCAGGGAGGTACTACCATCCTGTGGTAGTAGGTTGGTAGACAACAACCACCCAGGGAGGTACTACCGTCCTGTGGTAGTAGGTTGGTAGAAAACAACCACCCAGGGAGGTACTACCGTCCTGTGGTAGTAGGTTGGTAGACAACAACCACCCAGGGAGGTACTACCGTCCTGTGGTAGTAGGTTGGCAGACAACAACCACCAAGGGAGGTACTACCATCCTGTGTAGTAGGTTGGTAGACAACAACCACCCAGGGAGGTACTACCGTCCTGTGGTAGTAGGTTGGTAGACAACAACCACCCAGGGAGGTACTACCGTCCTGTGGTAGTAGGTTGGCAGACAACAGCCACCCAGGGAGGTACTACCGTCCTGTGGTAGTAGGTTGGTAGACAACAACCACCCAGGGAGGTACTGCCGTCCTGTGGTAGTAGGCTGGTAGACAACAACCACCCTGGGAGGTACTACCGTCCTGTGGAAGTAGGTTGGTAGACAACAACCACCCAGGGAGGTACTACCGTCCTGTGGTAGTAGGTTGGTAGACAACAACCACCCAGGGAGGTACTGCCGTCCTGTGGTAGTAGGTTGGTAGACAACAACCACCCTGGGAGGTACTACCGTCCTGTGGAAGTAGGTTGGTAGACAACAACCACCCAGGGAGGTACTACCGTCCTGTGGAAGTAGGTTGGTAGACAACAACCACCCAGGGAGGTACTACCGTCCTGTGGAAGTAGGTTGGTAGACAACAACCACCCTGGGAGGTACTACCGTCCTGTGGAAGTAGGTTGGTAGACAACAACCACCCAGGGAGGTACTACCGTCCTGTGGTAGTAGGTTGGTAGACAACAACCACCCAGGGAGGTACTACCGTCCTGTGGTAGTAGGTTGGTAGACAACAACCACCCTGGGAGGTACTACCGTCCTGTGGAAGTAGGTTGGTAGACAACAACCACCCAGGGAGGTACTACCGTCCTGTGGAAGTAGGTTGGTAGACAACAACCACCCCGGGAGGTACTACCGTCCTGTGGAAGTAGGGTTTGGGAGACACAACCACCCTGGGAGGTACTACCGTCCTGTGGGAAATAGGTTGGTAGACAACAACCACCCAGGGAGGTACTACCGTCCTGTGGTAGTAGGTTGGTAGACAACAACCACCCAGGGAGGTACTACCGTCCTGTGGTAGTAGGTTGGTAGACACAACCACCCAGGGAGGTACTACCGTCATGTGGTAGTAGGTTGGTAGAAAAGCAACCACCCAGGGAGGTACTACCGTCCTGTGGTAGTAGGTTGGTAGACAGCAACCACCCAGGGAGGGAC